TTCTGTTATTTTCATTGTTTATCACTGTGAAGCTGCTTTGACACATTCTGTATTGTATAAAAAGCTTTAGAAATAAAGGTGACTTGATTTGGTTCTTGCCAAAAACTGGCTGATCAACTCAGTAAAAACACCTCAAAGACCATCTTTTTGTACTGCCTGCACATTACTCATAGGCAGCGACAGTTGAGCTAAAAAATAAAAATGCCTGAAAGTTGTGGTTAGTTGTCAGTTTGTGTAAATGTAGGGTGTTGACCAACTTTTTCCACTTTTGATGTAATTTCTAGAGAGAAATTAGTGTTCATAAAATTTATGGTAAAAGAACGGCAGCTGTGGTTGTCAGAATTTTGCCGTAAAAAATACGGTAGCAACATTTTAGGTTTTACGGTTTTAACTTAAATGTACATTTTAATACCGTAATTTCATTAACTGATATAATGTTAATATACCAACCTATTGAAGTACTGAAATCTGTTTTGTACCTTTGTAATACACTGATAACCACCAAAAGCAGGTGCTGATGGAAAAAGTCCAAACCCCATCACAAGCAGCTTTTAAATATTAATATATATAGAAGGTGCACAGTTGTCATTCAAACACTAAACAACATCATGGCAACACACACAAAACTAAAATAATGCAATAAACATTAATTTAACAACATTAGATGTAACCTACAACCTTAATGTACAAATCTGATAAGAAAAAACTAAGACGCAGCATAGTTATTTCAACAAAAAAAGCATCAAATTTGAAATGTAATGCAGGGAATTCTGGAAATGACCATTTACTGTTATTCACTGTAAATTATACATTCTTTTTCCACTTCCAAAAACGGTATACTACCACAATTACATGTAATGCCCAATACAGTTTTTCACCGTATATAGGCTAGTAGGGGAACTTACCGTTAACCATTTAACAGGTTTTTACTGTAGCATTTTTACAGTCTTTTACCATTAAATTCACGGTAATTTTTTACAGTGTAGTAATTAAATATTCGCAAAGTTATCCGAAGCTCTCAATATTTTGTTGTAGATCATTAAACCATTATGCTGCCTCGTGAGGTGCCTTCAAAAACTGCCTGCAAAAACAATGCCTGATAAGGCAGCGAGGCATCAAGTCAGCCGCCTAAGCTTTTGGACACAGCCATCATAACCACGCAAAATATAGAGTTCTGCAGTGATGACTGATTTCATTTGGCCAGCCCGAAAGTTTGCATCACCCTGGTTCGCTTGACAAAAACACAATAGGTTTATTGAGTATTGCAGAAAATATGCTCTTTGACCAGCAATAGCCTATGATAATTACATGTTTTTCCCACCATCAAATTAATTTAACTTTTATTAAATTTGCCCTGCAAATTCTTCACAACATCAGCACTATACTTTCCTGTTTCTTGTCACATTGTGGATTTACTCTTCCACATTTCATATAAATGAAACTGCCTCCACTTTGCATCTCAGTTATCAATTGTAGCCAAATAAGACCTCAGAGGACTTTAGTATTTAACTGTTTATATTGTAACTATAAATGTATTTAAAATAGCAAATATTGTTACAGTGTTTGTCTACAGCCACCGCTTTGTACGTTGTAGTGGATACATAACAGAAGCCTTTAGGTAATATACATTTTTAACCCTATCAAACTGTATTTAATGTAAGCCAGAATAATGGTCATTATCTCAAAATAAACCAGTACATTATCTCTTACAGCAGGTTTTAGTTGTGTGTGAACACTGCTGAAGAACAGTGTATTGTCTCCCCCCCTTTGTCCATACTAAGAAACAACACTCTCTGTCTCTTTTTCTTTTTCTTTTTCTCTCACTCCTCTTTCCTCTTCATCTGCATCACAGGTTGTCTGTTCCTGTAAAGGTTGCAGCTTAGGAAAGCTTAGCCTATTCTGTGAAAGACCTTTGATTTTAATATGAATATTTCTCTTTCATTATTAGTATCATATAGTAAAATCTATGCGCATGATCGGGCACAATAGATCTCCTTTTCATTAGTGCAGTAAAATGCCAGCCCAGGCAGTGTAAGGGACTTCCAGCCCAGCCAGATTATTCACTCCTCCGTCTTCCCTTGCTCCCTTAACCACCTCTTGACAATGAGAATTAATATGCGTGCAGTTCTGCTCTCTCTTCTCGCTGGAGTTCAATAGGCAACTTTATCAGGGGGAACATTATTGAGAGCTTTGCCGAGTGCTTCTTCATCACACTCATATCTGAGCCGGCCCAACACTTGTCACTGTCAATCACAAGGTGATAATACACTGAAGATTTCCTCATTTGGTTTAATAAAATCTCTGGGCTTATTTGAACTGCAGTCATTAAAGCAAATAATTGCTGCATTGAGGTGCTAGCCGGGCCATAGCCTAAGGGATAATACAAGACTATTGCTGTGTGTGGGACTCGGATTATGCTTTTTTCCCCTCCTCTTTCCTCTCCCCAGTCGTGCATATTCCAACAATGAATATTGCATCTGAATCCAGCTCTGGCTTTTCTTATTCAAACTAACATTGTTATTACTTATTATCTAGACGTGAAGTCATTCGTTCTGCCTGCTTTATGGCTTTTGCTGTCATGGCATATTTCACTGGGGGGCTGCCAATTGCAATTTTTAACTGTCATTTAAACCAAATTGCAGATCAGAGTAAGCAGGCCCTTGGTGTGTCAGAGGAGACACAGAGTGATGGTGAGGATGAGCATAGGACATTTTTCATCTGCAGTTTCGAACACAATGGCCTACTGAGTGTTTGCTTTTTGGGAAGTTTGGTACATTCATCAATACTAACAAAAAAGGACAACACAACAACCCAGCCGGCCATTAGTGTTGCTTTTTCACTTCAAACAGCAGTCTAAGGACGCAAAACCTTCTGAAAGCCTGTTGGAAATCCATTATTTATTATTATTAAGCCTTCAAAAAAGGCATTTTAAACAGGTCTTCCTGCTTATGCCACAGACCTCATTAGGTGAACTCATACATTACAAACCCCTAAGAGACAGTACCAGTGTTGCCTACAGAAAAATATATACAAATATTGCTATTTACTTTTTCATAGCAGAACATATAAAACATTCAGCGTTGACGGGTTTTTACACAACATCAGCAGCATGACATAAAAAGATCAGGTTGAAACCAGACTGTGCCATATTATTTTATTTGCTGAACAAAGCAAACAGTCATTTTCTATGCTGGCAACATTATTAACATATCCAGCTCAGGTAGGCCAGAGGATATTTGCATTTGAGGCCGAATACTACCACCTTTCTCATGTCCAACATTTACATTTTGGAAATGCCACTGGAATCCAGTCAAATTCATTCTGTCAAAGAGTCAGTGACCTTGCTTTGTTTACTGGCTGCATCAAGAAACCACAGGCCAATTATTTTATTAGCGGACTGTGTTGAAAAACAAAATGGAATCAGCTAATTAAGCAATAATCAAGTCAATAATTAGCTTCCACTTTCAGCCCTGGACAATGTAATTTTCCTCAATTAGGTAAATCAGTGAAGCAGTAAATTAGTTTTTTCTTTCTCTCTATGTTCCTCGTAAATTATTATTAGGCATATCCCTTAAGAAATCAATCAATCAATCAAACACCAGGTGCCAAATTTTACCGTGCAGTTACTCCAGAAGTCAACAGGAAAGCTACTGTAGCTAGGGCCACCGTAAAACTGTCTACATGTAATCTACTATTGTGACAATGTAATGGCATCATTGGCAGTCTTGATAATGACTACTGGTTTCCAAAGCAAAAGCCTTTTAGAGAGGACTGAATTAGGCCAGGGGTGCTCAATCCTGTTCCTGGAGATCTGCCTGCCTGCAGAGTTCAGATCCAACCCTGATTCAACACACCTGTCTGTAATGCTCCTGAAGATCTTAATTAGCTGGTTCAGTTGTGTTTGATCAGGGTTGGAGCTGAACATTGCGGGACGGTAGATCTTCAGGAACAGGATTGGGCACCCCTGAAGGCAGTCAGGTGGGGAGATTGTTGAGGTACTCTGATAGCTAGTATTTGACTCCCTCTGTTGTCCTAAAGGGGACATTGCAAAATCAGTCAATCCACTTGCCAACGCCAGTCTACGCGGAAAATGTATTTACTTTATTCTAGAAAGCTGGGCACATGCAAGTGAAAGGCCAAGGATGCGTCAAGATGGCCTAAATATCCAAACATTTCTTATAATGACTACAAATGCGGAAGTTTTCTTATTTTACTATATGAAGAGAATTGATACGTTACAATATTTCTACCGCAAACGGTGTAATAGCTCAGGAATGTTTTGGTTTTATAAAGACGAATATAAAAATAAAGAAACCAACATTCCTATTTTTATAAGAAGTGATTTGTTTTAAATTAAAGCAATGACTTTAAAAGGCACACTGACGCTCGTAATAAATTGACCTCTTATTATGTATGAATAAATCTACCAATGAATCTGTTTAATTAATTCACATGAAAGCATGATTTAAAGGACCAATCCGAGTTTGCTACCTTGCGTCTCTATAAACCAATGACAGAACTCGAGCTCATTCCGTACCGTCCTTCAAAGGGGAGGGTGGATAGACTAATGCATGTTTTCAAAAACGTGTGAAATGTCCTGAGTTTAGCAAGGTAAGTTTCTTAAAGTCCTTTCTAATTTAGAAGTGTTTACTAACGTTTAACGTAGATATGCCCATGCATATCGTACTGTAAGATCAAATCCAAAACTCGCGTCTGTTAAAACGCTCAGCTCATAACTTGAGCTGGCAACATAAGAAGCGAGTCTTTTGTCGGTCGATTTTAAACGACTTTCGCTGTGAACTTTGCGACTGATGTCATTCCCACACTATTATCCATCTAAAAAGATCGGTATGTGCCAAATATTTGCTGTCTAAACATTAACCTGGAGTCATTTAACCTTGTGGATTGCTGTATTGCACGTTTGTTAGGGTGAAGGACTTGTCACTCACAATGAGAACCAATCACCGTCTTTCACTTGTTTATGTCCCGCCTTTTCCTGTCAAGTTAGTTAGAGGCGTGTTCGGTATTTGTGTGAGATTATTCGGAAAACACGGTCGACGGTGGTTTAGTTAAACGTACAGAATAAAAATAAAAAACGTCTAAATCAAACTATTTCATATTTGGACAAGTTACCGTGTAACATGTCTTCAGCCAGGTGACATTATTTGACTCAGGTAAGTGGAACCCCGTTAGTTATAGAGGTTTTGCTACATAAAGGCTAGTCTACTCCAATTACAAATACCGTAACAGTAACGCGAACTCTGCTTTACAAGCTGTGTTTTCACCTAGAGAACACTTCATTAAACGCTAACATTTGCCGGTCACCAAACAAATCTGCCTGCAGAGGGTGTCGGGTAGAAATGAAGGAATATATTTGTCTTACGAGGAGTCAGAGCTTTTGTTTCTAGTTGAGGCGGTTCGTCCAGTGTCTCGGGCGTTGACATCTGTCACTGTATTATATTACCACTGGATTTTCCCTCACCCTGCTTAAGTTTTGATATGAACTCTATGGAGAATTCTTCGGCCCTAAGGTTAATGTATGTTAGATCTGGCTGTTCAAAACGTCAAAATATTGATGACTGTAGAATTGTTTGCTCGTGTAGACGAGAGGTGTGGGGTCCATTAAACTTTTGAGAAGTCTTTAATAATAAAAAAAAGTCAATGCATTTAAAGTTAATAACAAAAAAAAATTGATTAAAATAATTACAAAAAGAAAATTAGTATGTAACCTAATAGAAACTAAATATTTTGCAAATAATTTTACACATATAATATTGATTGTTCAGTATAAATCGGATCTTTATATATACAAATGCATTGCTGGCTTTTAAGTTTTAGAGTGGGGGTCTCTCAGGATGATAGTATTTGGGGGTTTGTGTCATCTAAAAGATTGAAAACTTCTATATTAGTCTGCAGGTCTCTGAAGTTCTCACTAGTGCCAACAACAACATGGTTAGTGGGGATTGGATTGCCACCAGCTGCCATAAAGCATCAGGTTGCCTATTGTGTTTTCCAAATGTTCAGGCTCTCATCGGCACTTTTTCTTTCTCTTTCGCTCTCTCTCTCTTTCTCTCACAGCAAATTCTTCGGATGCCACCAAAAAGTGAACAAGCATACACCCATCCAGAGCTCAATGAGTAATGAACCCATTTTGGAGCATGTCGACAAACGCTGGTCGTAAGGTGAATTATGGCAGTCCACCAGTATGTCTTCTCATGAACACACATGACCCTATCGTTTATTTCTGGCCTATTAAACTAGCTTGTGAGTCTGCTGAGGTTGACACAAGATTTCTCAGAGTTTCTTCTGTAAAAGCAGTACTTGTGATGCAAATGTATGAGCTTGGTTGGCATAATTGTTTTAAAATGTGAGATGCTGTCTGACATCGCTAAGCATATATAAACATCCCAGTGTCCTTTACCTGAAGTCTAAATGGCTGTTCACCGAGTAATGTTTACAACAGGTGACTGCAATAAGAAATCACGTGGGAGGCTCATGGTTTAAAGATGATTTTGCACAGATCAGACTCTCTAAAGTCACAAGCTTTAGTGGTGGAAGACTTTTTGGTTCAGAATGATGTAGGCTAGTCTCTCAATTCTGATTTGTTTTCAAATTACGGTTGTTATAAACTCTTGCTAAAATCTAAGAATTGCAGTCAATTAGTGCTTTTGACTTGGCTCAGCAAAAGGAGTAACAGTTTTTGTTGTAAACTACAAAGTTGTTGTCCTGACATTGGTGTGGTGTGTGGCATCACAGCTGTCAAAAAGGTGTTAAATTCAGCTGTTTCTTAATAGATGCTGCTGACTCATGACCCAACTGCTCTCTTTTTGATTTATGATAGACACTTCTTGGACTAGCTGTTAGTAAATTGTTTTGAAAGTGTATTTGCTGTATTCTGTGATTTATTCAGCTGTATTTTGTTGTAGTTGGCTTTATTACAGGCTGTGTGCTGAATCAGTTTGCTGTTAGTTTTTCCTTTTAGGCCATTAAGCCTCAGGCCCCAGCCGCTACTGCTTATGAGTTTCTGGTGTCTGATTTTTACCTTCACAGTCCCTTGAAATATAGTCTCTCTGCTGATTTTAAGGCACAATATGTAGTTTTCGCCGTTAGAGGGCACGTATTCAAAATAGACAAAGGCGTAGTTTGATGACCCCGTGAGTCGTGACTGAGTGTGGAATCATGGGAGTTGTCGTCTTCATCCCCACAGCCGATGCAATCCGATGGGACTCAGGCTGAAATCATGTTCATGGATGAGCTAATATTTCAAATAAAAGGCTTCAATACATTTTAGAACCATTGAACATGTGTGATTTTGTTTGTGTAGAGATCTGACGGTGAGGAGCAGGGTGGTCCAGGGGAGCAGAGATCCAGTCCAGCTCGTCCTCCATTTGGTAAAAAGCAGCTTCCCTCCATCCCAAAGAATGCCGCCCCCATCACTAAAGCCGCCTCACCGGCCTCCTCTACACAGTCTGCCAATGGCACGCATGCCTCATATGGCCCTTTCTACCTGGAGTACTCGCTGCTCGCTGAGTTGTGAGTTATGCTCGGTTTTTATTTATTGGCTATTTATTTTATTTATTTATTGTAACTGTACAAAAGACCAGGTTCCACAGGCTTCCACAGGTTTTGGGCAATAACAGTTTTGATGGCTTTATAGTAGTGTTGAATAAATGAAGCTGTGATTCTAAAATGTATCAAACCTGAGATTTAATAGATTTTTATGACTATATAACCAAGTTAAAAAACTATGCATCACATTTGTTATTCAGCAGTCGTCTCAGAGTTGTGTATCAACACCCTAAGTTTGTGCTGCATATTTTGAGGTGTATGTTTTAAATGAACAATTCGGACCATGTGTCTGTTGCAGCACATTGGTGATCAAGCAGAAGCTCCCTGGCATCTATGTTCAGCCTTCATACAGATCAGCACTAAGTAAGCATGTCTTCCTCTTCCACTCTATTCTGTCTGTCACCGAATGCTCTTATGCTGCATTCCATTCAACTCCAAAAGAATTTCTAACTTCCTGCTTGGAAAAGTGCAACAGAATGTGCAGTCAATTAACTTCTATGAATGTGTCAGCATGGGGTTGCAATGTCACATGAATATGTTGGCGTTCAGGGAGATGTGCATGATTAATGAAATGAAAGGATTGGCATTTTTTCTTTGTAGCTACCAAACATCGGACCACAGAAATCAATATAGTCACAAGTCAGACATATAGAAAACTCCCACACCTGTTTTTGAATGGAGCACAGCATTAGTCATTAGGCGCAAATTGAAAATACGCCTAATGGAAACGCAAAAACGCCCATATATTGCAACACAGTTTTTACGCTCGCATGAGGTGGTTTTTCAGGCAATGCGAAAAAGGAATCATTCGCAAAACTGCAATGGAATTGGCTTTTTCGCATTTACAGGTCACATGGCGTATGTAAAGTCATATGATCATTCTTCAGTGTACTATAACCTCCAAGAAACACTTCATAAGTGGCTGCGTTCCAGTATAAGGGGCTTTCCCTACTAGTAATGCTTAGACAATTTACACTGCGCACATCTGCGTGTGGCTCTGATACGGTCACTGAAGCTGATTACGGCCACCCAATGCTTGTGTTTTGTTTTTATACAGTCTATGGTTTATTCCACGCACGTTTCTGAAGCGGCTCTCTTTGCTGCTGCTGTAAAGATACACGCATAAGTTTAAAATTTGAATAAATCTAGTCAAAATCCCACCAAAATCCATTGCCATGACTTCTCGCGAGAGGCAAAAGGTTACGTTTAAGTCTCATAACATTGGTTAATGGAAATGCCGTCATTTCGCAATACTTTTTTATCGACATATAAAATATCACCAAAGTTTTGTGCAAATCTGTAATGGAAACGCGCCTAGTGTGTGTTGTATCATTGTGCTTGTTTTGCATCATCAAATAGTTTAACTTATGAAATGATCAGTGTTCAATAACTGAGCTGAAGCGTTAAATTGATTTGCTACATTGCTAATTTCTCTAAGTATCCATCAATGTCTTGTCTCTATTGCAGTGTGGTTTGGTGTGATTTTCATTCGACATGGCTTGTACCAAGATGGTGTGTTTAAGTTCACCGTCTACATTCCCGATAACTACCCAGATGGAGACTGTCCTGTAAGTATAATATACAATTTCCACACATCAAGAATAAGGATTTGCTACGTGTATTCATTCTATCCATGACCCGCTGTGATGGCTCCCCACATTAGTTTGCTGGTTTTTCCTCTGTAGACTCATTTACAGTCATTGTAGAAGCTACACACACCATGAATTAGGACTGTTTGAAATGTTAGACCATTAAACTTGAGCCCAGGTTTAACATGGTGATGGTTGGTTGCTATAAAACTTTTTCAAGGAAAAGGGACAAAGTAGAAAAGAATGTCTGTGCATAGCACCTTATGCATTTTATTTTATGATGAAGCTGGAGAATAGGAAACTTGCATACTTGTGGCTTTAAAATATCAAACCAAGATAGTGTATGCATGTTCTTGATATTTTGTTGATAAATGGAGAGAACTGCACCTCGATCCAGAGCTGTTATTGGAGTTATGATGCTGAAACAAGTGGTTAAAGTGGTTCTTTGTGCAATCTAAAATCAAGGAACTGATATAGAGGAAATAAGGGGCTTTCGCACCGTGTAGTTCTAGGAACTTGGTTCTAGGAACTAGCCAGCACAGTAGTTCCTAGAGAACCAATTTCTCCTTCGGGCCGTTTTTCTGGTTGCATTCGCACCGGCAGCAGGAACTCTGAAGCGGCCGACAGCGATTGTCTTTTTATAATGTAGATGTAAACTCACAATTTACGCGATTGCAAGAGCAAAAAGTTGGGCTAAGAGACATTTATATTATGACAACTTGCAGTGTTACATAAAGCTGAGAAAAGAACACAATGCTGCAGACAACAGGTAAATGCCGTTATCACCGTTTTCCATGTTCGTGGCGTAAATGTTTACATGGCTTTTTAAAAATGCCGGGTGGCCGGTGTTTCACGTGCGTTTTTCCAGTCAGCATACACTTACGTCACTAATAGTTCCTATAGAACTGTTTTAGACCCTGCTGTGAAGTAGGAGCTAATTTAGTTCCTCCAAATGGAGTTCCTAGAACTAAAACCGTTCCTGTGGTGCGAACACGCCAAAAAGTGGGTAGTTCCACAATTAGTTCAGGTACTATGAAAAGGTTCCAGCGGTGGGAAAGGCCCTATACTTCCGTTATACAGCTTGAAGTTTGTATTTTTTTTTTTAAATAACACTATATATGAACATTTACTGCCTGTGAGAATGTGATGCAGTATTGTTTGCCATGTAAATGTCTGTTAAAAAAAAAATCTACACTGACAGTGATGAATGACTTTTCTAGTAGAAATTATTTCTACAAAAACTACAAATTTTCCACCTCTGCTGGCTAATCAAGAGGCTGCTCACTGCAGAGCAAATGGGTAGAGCTTACGTCTTGCTCCCCCCTCGGTAGATGTCCAGCGAGGAGGAGAGTGTCATTTGTGCCTAATGGGTGGAGCTAGAATATCCAACCACACCCACACACTAACCCTACCCACAACTCTATCCCTTCACCCCCTTAGATGTCCAGAGAGGTGGAGCTGGAAGTCATTTGACTGCAGCGAGTGCCACTTGGGCTAATCTGCTGCTTAAATTAGCCATAGTAAAGTCAGACTTTGCTGTAGTCTTTACAAGTTTCATTGAAGTATTTCAACATTTTCTTATTTTTAAATAAGTCATGGAAATGTTTTCCATAAGTTATGGAAATGTCTATTGACTATAATAGCTATACTCAACTCTCAAACCACTGTGGGTTATGGAAACTAATTGTTCAAAAGGTTTGGGACACAATTTTCACAATGGTCATTCCATCAGAAGGGCTGATCTGTTCTTCTTTTGTTGCGTTTATGCATGTTTCTTTTTTCAGAGGGTCGTTTTTGACACCCCAGTTTTCCACCCTCTAGTGGACCCGGTCTCTGGCGAGCTGGATGTGAGGAGAGCTTTCACCAAATGGAGGTCTGTTTAACAAAACGAAACAAAAACTGCTGTTTTACTGTATTGCCCTTTACCTCCCTGGAATCTAAATTCAAAGGGGCTCAAGGTTGTTTTGGAAAGATTTTAGTACTGTCAAAATGAATGTTAATGCATGCGATTTAAAAAAAAAAAAAAGTGTTGGGTTGGCCACCCCACTCAACTGCTGCTTCTCTTTTCTTTTAAATTAAAATTTTTTTTTTTTCGCTTGACAAGAGTTGTATTTATTTGTTTCTGCATTAATTTGAATATTAAATTTATTGCAGTATAAAAAAATATATTTGAGAACTTTAATGTTAGGTGTGATTAATCGCAATTAATTTCAGAAAAAAATTGTGATTGGTTTAATCGATTTAAATTACTATATATATTGTTTACTATGATAAATTGAAATAAATAATAATTTTCCAATAATCTAAATTTGCAGGCGAAACCACAACCATATCTGGCAGGTCCTTATGTACGCCCGCACAATCTTCTATAAGATCAACACCATGGATCCGCTCAACCCAGAGGCTGCAGTGCTGTGAGTAATAGATTTTTTTTTTTGTGTGTTATTTTTTTTTTTTTAATAAATAGTCTTCCTAGCACATACACTAAATGGTGACAGTCACTAAATAAGTCCCTGAAGTTGGTTTTGCTTCAGAGAAATGAAGTAACCACAATATCTCTCTCATGAGAGTAAACTGATGCCTCGTTCTATTTATGACGCACTGACCCAAAATTCAAATGATTTGCAACAGTCGATTTATTGCGTCCAGTGGAGACTGCCTCAAGCTGTTGCGGTGCGGCACGACAACTGTTGCATCCGGTGTAGACATGGTGTCAGTCTTGACTTCACACAACAAGATGAAAGCTTGTTTAGCCTTTTTTCCCCCCACATTTATTTCCTCTTAGTAGTGCTGCACGATTAATAGAAATTAAATCGCGATTAGGCAGAAGCTGCGATTGTCATGCGTATCTTTCAGTGAAGCATGGTTCTATGATCAGCAGTACATCTCCTGCTCCCCACAACCAAGTAAAAACTGGCTTCTTCTTGGTATCTGATGCATGCCTCATTTTAAATCATGAGCTTTTTTGTGTGGAACACGGTTTCTTTTCCTTTCCTATTACCTGTTGTCTTTTTCTAGTCTATATGCTTGTGGGTTTGCTAAAATGTGCATTATTGTGAGGATATTAATTACACCCTTGGTGCTTGTGACAAATGGTGTTCTCTTGTTGTTGTAGCGATGGCCAGAGGATTATAACAAAGGACTGCCGGTGTCTGGGCTGTCTTGGGTGAAGCCTGGTTCCACTCAGCCTTTCAGCAAAGAGGACAACCCCCTTCAGACGTGAACCTTCAGCACTGGCTGTCCACCAGGAGGGGCGCTACGCTACTGTGGCTGCGCCGAACCACATGTATAGAATTCTGATGCAGTTCTATGAACTTTATCTTCATTCGCAAAACCCTCGCTCGGCTTTAAAAGAAAACCACTATAATGGCTTAAGAATTATAGACATGTTCCCAGTATAGATGTAAAGATCCCACTCGTTCATTTCAGTGCTGAGGCTTGAACGCACAGAGGTTGTTCTAGTCAGTACTGTTACTTGCACATGTTAATGTTTTCAGGCACAACAAACCACCTCACTTATTTGTGTAGGTCATGCTCTTCTAATTGACGAACTTGGTTTTCTCACTAATAATTTGATGTATTTAATACATTTTCCCTTTATTTTCCTTTCCCTGCAAACTTGGTTAATGAGTTTTAATTTCAAACATACATTTGCAGTCTGGGACAGAGCGCTGGTGTATTTTTTTATTATTTTTTTTGTTTGTCTTGATATATTTGGGTTGAGATTTGTTTTGTGTATGATATGGTTTTAATGTAAAATACAGAGCAAGATAAATACTATTCATTAAGACACGGGCAACTTTTTTGCGAAATGTTGCTTGGGCACTTTCCCATTGAGAATGGGTAACAAATTTTGATCTGGATACTTCAGATCGGTCGTGGGCTTTGTCTCACCTGGTTGCCCGTTGACAGCCCGGCAACATTGCTCAAAAAGTTGTCCTGTGTATCATCAGCCTAAGTTAATCCTTGTTGTTCAATGATGTAATTCAGTTTTATTCTATTCTAACGGTTTGATCTAAATGGGTTTGATGTGTACATTTTCCCTTTATTTTCCTTTCCCTGCAAACTTGGTTAATGAGTTTTAATTTCAAACATACATTTGCAGTCTGGGACAGAGCGCTGGTGTATTTTTTTATTATTTTTTTTGTTTGTCTTGATATATTTGGGTTGAGATTTGTTTTGTGTATGATATGGTTTTAATGTAAAATACAGAGCAAGATAAATACTATTCATTAAGACACGGGCAACTTTTTTGCGAAATGTTGCTTGGGCACTTTCCCATTGAGAATGGGTAACAAATTTTGATCTGGATACTTCAGATCGGTCGTGGGCTTTGTCTCACCTGGTTGCCCGTTGACAGCCCGGCAACATTGCTCAAAAAGTTGCCCTGTGTATCATCAGCCTAAGTTAATCCTTGTTGTTCAATGATGTAATTCAGTTTTATTCTATTCTAATGGTTTGATCTAAATGGGTTTGATGTGTAAATAGTAGAGCGGTTCAATGAAATGAATGGCCTCTATAGAGTCCATGGCTCTCATTTATTTATCTAGGAATTTACCATGGTTTAAATTTTAGAAATTTAGCTGTTTTACAATGCATTTTTTTTTTTTGGGGGGGGGGGGGTTTTGGGAAAGAATACGTATA